TTACACTTTGCTCCTCCATTTTCTTAATGTTCATCTACCGTTTAAGCAATCATTCCATCCCGTTTCGCGGAGCTTCTCCAAGAACTCTCGCTCTCGAACGCTGCCAGTTAATTGGCCGGGGATGCGATGTCGAGCATCCGTTTATCAATAAATGAAATAATAGAAAATTTCCGATTTCGAGAGCCTTGGGGAGACACGGCTTATTCGATGGTGAGACGAGCGCGCCGGACATCCGTGGGTGGAATCGACCATAACAACCGCCAATTCATTTTTGACGTTCGCGCAATAATAATAACAAGGCTCGATCAAAGAATCGCGACGAGATCAAGCACTGCGATTTTCGCCAAACTTCCACTCGATCAAATAGCGCTTTCCATCTCAATTTAAAAATCAAAACAAATTAGAATTTCAGGGGCCGTTGCACGTTTTGTTTTGTTTTGTTTTGCTTTTTTTTTGTTTTGTTTTTTTACATCTCTTGTATTACGATCAAATATTTGCCCGCTCGCGCACATTGCCAAACGAACGACTGCGATAAAGTGATTAAAAACAAATTTTGGAGGCGACTCGTTTGGCAGCTTAAAATCAAAATCCCTACGCACAGCGTCCGACGCTAAAAGATATCCAATGTCGACTGGCCCACCTAGGACCTACGACCCGAACTCGGCTAAACACACAAACACGCAGTTAACGGGCTAATCGATGCCCCGGACAGGTCCATCATTGTCGAATCCCTCGGTCGCTGCGCGTTAGGACTCTCCTCGAGGCATTAATCGGCCGCCGGCGGATTCTTTTAAGCTCGCACGGAGGACGCGCATCCGCAGGAACGTACGTGAGACGGCCAACCGCGCCTTCAAAACACCAAACATCCAATTAATATCCCGGCAAAGTCTGGCAAAGTCCTCCCGGGTCTTCGAGGAATAGAGATAGATAATCTTGGGGAGGAAGAGAAGTAATTGAGATGCAACATGACTCGTGACGCTTGTTTCTACACCTCGAACGATGCATTATACGCATTATGGTGGGAGGGGGAGGGGGGGGGGAGACACGTTTTCTCCCGACTATTATCCGTTCTCCTCCTCCTCCTCCTCCTCGGCTCACAGCTTTACCGCGCTCACGTTCGCGGTGCCCTTATAATACGCGACACGGGAGACGGGGGAGACGTCACTGCGGGGAGTCGTGAGGACAAAGCGCAGCGAGCGCGGTTCTTGATGGTGTAGATAGGCGCCGCCTCGACTCTTTTTCTCTTCGAGTCGTAAAAAATAGACGGAACGGAAGGCGAGATTCATCCGCTTGCTTTTCCAGCTCCAGTGAACATTGCGGGAGGGTTGCGGGGAGGGGGGAGGGCGGCGGCTTAGGAGACACGTAGTGGTTGATTTAATTTCAATTTATTTACAACTGTTCTGTTTCTTTGTTACATTCTCGGCTTTATAGGGGCCGATTACAATATTACACTATTTCATTTCCTACCTTATCGTTGACAAATTTTAACATGAATATCCCAATGCTTACGCGACTCCCTTTAATCGGAATCTTATCTTCGTATTTATAGTATTCTTTGATCTAGTTCAACATTTCTAATCTTAACTCTGGGGATACACGATTAATGCAAGAAAATAGCTTCTCTTAAACTGTATTACGATCATCAAACATCATCTTGGTAATTAATTCCTTAACTAGGAAACTAAATGCAACAGTCGAAAGCAATGGCTACGTAAATATATATATATATATATATATATATATATATCATTGTAAATGGCTATGGGGTTTATTATAGATAGCGTACAGGTAGACGAGATCATTGCGAATTGAAAAGGAACGACCATAACAATTCAATGGGGACAAAGGTAAAGCATCATTTTTTGTCATCATAAATATAATCGTCGAGTGAACGTAATGTCGCGTGTGCACTTAATTAATGATTTATTGTGCATATGACAAATTTTACATACAATTCATTATAGATGCACTGCTAATCTTTTCATTATCTGCTAATTATCTCTAAAACTATCGCTAAATATCCAGTGTACGACTAGAAAAAAAAAATAAATAAATAAAAATAAATAAAAGAGAGAGAGAGAGAGAGAGAGAGAAATTAATACTAATTGTTTTAATAGAATTACATTAAATTTTCATGCAAATTTATTGAAATTCTTTGAAATCGTAAGCCACATATACGTACATCGATTTTCAGTTAAAGCTGCCCCCGATAAAAAATACAGTAAAATTAAACCGCCTTAATTAATCACCAATAATAATAATAACAATAATAATAATCACTACTTTTAATATATAAAGCAAATGTAAATACAATTTGTAATATGTAATATACTTTGCCATACGATGGCATTGCAAATGAAATGAGTATTACTTGCGGTGTCGCGCATGTGGCCGGTAAGGTAGTAATCCTTTATAGAAAATATATTTTTGTCTTAATCGACGTAAAACAGATATTTACATAAATGACAAGTAAATAATGTATATATTATCGGCGGCTTCGTAGACTTCGACAGCATTTGTTGATTAAAATCTTCGACTTATTATTTCAAACGATTTATTTTTAAATGAACGCTTTATTTTAAAAATAGAATGTATTATGAAATTTTTTCCATGTTCAATTCTTTTATCTATTAAATGTCCAAGAGTAACGGCAATTACGAATATAATTTTGAAAAAATGTGAATTATTATTTCATAGACTTGATTATGCCTTAATTCTCATTTAATATACGTAATGTATTTTATCTTTCACATTAAAGACATTACGAAAGAAAATAAGAATCCAGCGTGCAATTTTCTTATTACGTATTTCATTTCGTGTCAATTAAACTGCATAGTAAACTACGCTGTTATTTACGAATTAGAGCTCTACCACAACAACAGCAATAACAATAACAACAACGACGACACGAAGAACAACGATAAATGTATACCTGAAAATTAAATTTCATCTATGTACAATATTAAAAATAATTGTATTAGATTATATGGCCTTTGTACGATAGGCTGAATTTATTATCTGCCAAAACTATTTCTTTCTATTTATTCAAGAATTCAATTATATTTAGATAGTAGTTTTGAAGAGATTAGTAGTGTCTGTAACAGTGCATATGCGGTCCCCAATACAGGCACAATGGCTATGTATGCGCTCAACGCAATATTTGAAATATAACAGAAGGAAAAAGCAGTGGTTTGAGAAGACATAATGAAATAATGGGGAATGAAGTAGCCAAACGTCGAGGTATTGGCGTACGTAAAAATCTTTTTCCATTATATGATACTTAAGTGTGCAGACTCAACATTGTGCATAGGGAGTTCGAAGAAGTGAATTATGTCATTGTATAGGAGATGTCAATTCGCATTTTACAATAGTCATTTAGAGGCCGCATCATTAAGGAATTACAATTAAATTTTAATAAGCGTATATTATTATGTACACTATTAAATTCACATATACAGATTGAGATTTTCGTTTGATTTTTCAATTTAAACAAAAATCATAATAGTTATTGTAATAGTTTTGCATCGATTGATAACACAATATCTTACGTTTTTAAAACACACAATTATTATTACTTTTTCATCATATTCATATCAGTAGTTTTCTATTTTCATTTCTTTCTTTCTTTCTTTTTTTGTTTTTTGTTTTGTTTTTGTTTTATTTTTTTTTCTACCACCGCGCTCGAAATTAATGTAAATTATACTATTCAAATCGTACGGTTATATAAAATTGTTTATATTATTGCAGGAAACAAACGCTACTTGGATACTTTGGTTTTCGTTCGCTTCCCTGCAATTTTTATTAATCTCGCAATTCGACATGTTGACAAATACTTTATTGTAATTTCATCTTTTCGAATATATTATTATTAAACGTACAAGAATTACATAAATTACGATGATTGAATCAGAATGAAAGCGAACATTAGAGAATAAATGGATTTAGCAAAGCAAGTGTGATTCAATAAACATTATAGTTTATGATACACATTTATGTACGATTTTTAAAATATACTCAAGCCAGTAGTAAGGTAACAATTTACCTTATTACGATCGTAATAATCTTGACAGGAATCAATAATTGTTAACAATACATAAAGATTTTGTTGTTCGATACTCCTTTTTACAAGATTCTCAATTAACTTCTCTAATCGCAAATTGATTCCTCAATACCCGTTGAAATTTGAATTTTACATAAATTTGCAATATATACACATACATACACATACACACACACACACACATATATATATGTATATATATATATATATATATATATATATATACACACATATAATATATGTATATATTCATATGCATATTACGGACATTAGAATATCAACAGAATTATACACTATTAAATACATACTTTAAATTGTTTATTTATTTTCGACGCTGCTAGCAACAATAAAAATAGTATACTGAAGTTGGTATTTCTCTATATTACTAGGAACAGTCATGATGTTTTATTAGCATTGTAAGAAGATCGTGAATACGTTTATCGTTCGTACATTGTTTTAAGCATTTAATTATTAACATTGACAAATTATAATATTAGCTTAGCTGTCTTACTCGTGTAAATGATACGCGCAGTCGTTTTTCAATGTTGCTCAAAAGGATTAATGTTACGTTATGCGACCTAATGTTGCAATTTAAATGCGCAATCCAACGATCATTGATACGGATAAATTTAAATCATTTCCAGATCGCCATCTTCTCACAATATAATACGAACATCATTCGGCAAAAAATATATATCGCAACAGATATTTTCACTAATGGAACGTAAATATTAATGTACAGAAATTTGTCAAAACATATTCTTAAACCAACATCAATTTCAACATTCGGGGATCTTCAAAACCCTGAGATATCTTATATTTATTAGTTAACACATAAATTGACTTCTCTCATAAACTAACGATAAACTTTAATTCGTAATTATTTATTATTATTATTATTTTTTTTTCTTCATTTTTTTTCTCTTTTTCTTTTTTATGTTGATGCATATACGTATTAATATATTCATTTATATAACAAAAAAATGAAACAATTATTGTAATGATTCCACCACATGCTGCTTGGTCGTTCTATTTAGCACTTCATTTTCTGAAAGATGCGCGCGCGTGCTATTATAGGCGCTTAAATGCCCGTGTGCTCGTATAATTTTATACTCACGCACAATCATAAATGCCTCCTTATCTGTTACTGTGCGCGTGTGCGCGCGAGCACACATGCAAACGCGCACGTACATTGCATTTATTAACGTAATAATTGTTACTTCAGATGTTGCGTGTATATATTTTGTAAGTAATTACGTGGACGAATACTTGAATAGTGTCCAACGAATCGATATTCCTGTCGGGTTTGATCGTTAACGTTGGCTAGTCTTCGATTCACCGATTACCACTTGTTTAATTCAGAAGCGCTTGTTACATCGGGATTCACGAATGGATTTGTAGATGCTATGTTGAAAAATAAAAACATGCTTTAATAGGAATTGATAATAAACCATCGTCGAAACACATTTAATGGGTATTTCTCGACTAGACTACACGTTATACGCCAACAGGCTTGTAAACTTACAGTCCTTAAACTTCAACATAACTACATTAAATGATAAAAAATAAAAGAAAAAAAAATGCATTGTTCTACGTGCAGGTTTACGAAAGAACAAATGGCAAGTTAAACGATATTTAATAATAATGTCTGATAAAAGTATGAATAATAGGTTAAACATATAATCCAAATAAATAATACAACAAAAATTAAAGTGCACATTATTGTGTTTAATTAAGAAATGCTAAGAGCTTTACATAAATTATATTATAAACATTTTCGAATATGATAGAGGTGTGAAATATCCACATATTATATTAAAAATCCACTAACAGTTTCACGTAAAATAAAGAGAAATTGTGAAAAAAATCTGTGTCACTTGTGTCATTTTTAAATTGAAAAACTACGTGATTATAAATCTTTAAAAAGCCGTATTTTTATGTTACTAACAATATATATATATATATATATATATATATATATATATATATGGTTTATCGATCCGTTTATAAAGCGTCTTTATGAAAAATATTCTCATTTTACATGCTTATACTAAACGCAATGATAATCATAAAAGGAAAAAATAAAATTCGTAGTCGAATTAAAATCTATGTTTAATTACTCACAAAAATACGGCATTCGTTTGTCTCTATTTATCTATCATAAATTTTATTACTAACTAAAAATAATATGTTCATTGGTGATTTACAGCAATGTCTATATTAACTAGTACATTATTAAATTATTAATAATTACAAAAATGAAAAAAATCTTTTCACGCAGCCTGGTCAACAAGCATTAAGTCACAGATTACGTAAGGCCTTTGAAATAGATTTTTTATTCTTCTTTATACTCTTAGAGAACATTCAGCTTTAATATTAACGTAACCTTCAGAATACATTTATTATTATTATTAATAACTATGTGCAATTACAAAAAAAGACAGGAGTATCCGTCTATTTTAGGAAGTTCATCAGATTTGTTCCAACTACAGACAACGCTTATATGCTGTATATTCAAATTCTCACGACGAATTACAAATATTACGAATAATTCGACAATCAACTTAAGTAAAATAATGAAAAAAATTGATGTTTGCGTTTCAAAAAAAAAAAAAAAAATAAAAATAATAATAATAATAATAATAATAATAATAATAATAATAATAATCGTAAATAATATATAATATATAATATGATTCCATTATCGAAGGGCATTTTGCTAGGGAAACATTATGAATGTATAAGCTTAGTCAGCAGGATATACAGGATCTCATCTCCCACATAAGCATTACGTACTTACTCGTATCAATCAGGTCAGGTATCACGCGCATATACATATACCCATATACGCGCGCATTCACATTATTCTTTCCCATTTTTTGATCTATTTATTTTCTGCTTTATCGTTTGCATTATAATATACAAAATAATTGATAATGGACTGGGGCAGATGCTTGGCTTATCATAAATATACAGTGTATGGCGAATCCTTTACTAGTGATTTTATGCAGAGATGAGCTTCGATATACTAGTTTTGAAATTAATAAAATGTCAAGCTTATTACTGCAGATTTTACGGTTATTAGCTGCACTCCTCATCGAATCTTACCGTTCTCACTTTGAAGATGATATAAGCATTGGAAACAAATTAAACAACACTTTATAAATAAATAAGCTTTATTCTTGCTTATTATTGTTAATTATTATTGTTATTGTTATTATTATTATTATTATTATTATTATTATTATTATTATTGTTATTATACAATATGTGATTACAAACATGAAAAATCTAATTTATGAATTTTCTTTAACTGCGTAATGCTGAAACTTCCGGTGTCGGAAAGCAAGTGGCATACAAAAATAAACGAATTTATTTACCAAAAGCTATTTCTCGGAATATCCTCTATTTACATATCTTAATACGCAAGCTCATAATTACATCGGCTAGCCCGTTCAATTATTATTATTCTCGAAAATATATTAGTTTTTAAAGGAAATATACCGTATTAGCGTTATTACATCTTATGCATCTCATTAAGAATTTATTTTATTGCGAGTTAAGATGCGAGCAATAGTTTTCACATTTTAAGCCAAGTCAACCATCCTCTTACTTACGTATTACTCCAGCAATTTATGAAGTTCACAGTGAAATAAATAGATCAGTTAAATACCGAATGAAATGAAAAATACACGTAGTTAAGTACTTATTATATGTACACAACATAATATATTCTGAGAGTTCTTAAGCGAGGTTAGACTGTTATATTTATACAAGCGATTACTTTTGTTTAATTATTTCCAAAATACTTAGTCGTTGATAGCGGATGAAATTTACGCGGCCAAATGCAATTTAAATTGTCGCTTAATGATATTGAAGAGTTGGTGGTATTGTTTAGGCTTTAAATGCAATTTATTAGGGGAAAAAAAAAAAAAAAAAAAACAACAACAACAACAACACACGTGATTGCAATTATAACACGTTTTATTCGTTTTATTTCTGAATAATGAATGATTTATTTTTTAAAAATACGTCTCTTTAGCATATTTAGATAAATAATATAATCGACAATATAATTAATATAATTGGTTGATGAATCAATTTTTTTAACTTTCTTAAATATTATTAAGACTCGATAATTTTTTTAAAAGAAAAAAAAAGATCAAACGGGCAAATAATATGCTTATTATAAAAATTAAGTAATAATTGGATCATTTTTTAAGTTAAAAAATGTTTCAGTAAAATGTGTTTTTTTTTTTTCGTTTTGTTTTTATAGGATAGTGTATGCGATTAACCGTCAATGTATTCGATGATATCTAATTTATCTCGAATTTTTATATCTTTGAAATTGAAATAAATTATTGACATCGCAAGATTTCAATTCATAGCTAATATACGATCCACGCTTTATACAGTTTGCAAATGAGTATTCATCAAAATATGCATATTTCGTTATTTTGTCAATTTATATATTGATCCGACGGGCATACGCACGCACATAAATTTAAGCAATTTGAATATTCAGCCATGACGTGGGTTTTTATTTTTAAGCCTTATCGTTTCTACCTTCGATCTCACACATAATATCGTTTGAATGTCAAATGCTTCATTTCGTCTACCCAAATCTATTAAATTTAATATTATTTTAAGATTCGTAATATCGAAACCATGTACTTTGAATAACAAAAGCTAAATTACAAATTAATAAATAAATATAATGTTTCCGATAACTGAGCTACTTTTATAATAACTTTTATATTGCTGATGAACCTCCTTAGATGAAATTGCGGGTGACGATGATCATACAGATTTTAAACTAAATGCCATTCTATATGTACACCGTTGAAATATCGATCAACATCAACTACACATGAACAAACGGAATCCACATCGCCAATCATTATTATCCGAAGTGATTTACCACTAGAAACAGAAATAATAATAGTAAAAAAAAAACAACAACAATGTCATCCTTATAAACCACATAGATACAAAACGACGGCTCATATACAAGACGAAGACGAAGAAGATGAAGAAGAAGAAAAAGAGAAAATGGAAATAGAAGAAGTAGTAGATAAGAAGAAAGGCTTTGTAATTTGAACTAATGAGAAAGCGAGCGTAAGAAATCCGATAAGCACTCGTCGTACAGAGGGTCGTTAAATTCAAATTCCGTTAGGCTTTGGTCACGGTCGTCTTTTCGCAGCGCACAATTTCCAAATCGTTCGATAATTTTTCCATATCGCCGCCCCTACCAATGCGTCGCATATAATATATACTTTTTCTAATTCGGTATAATATCGTTGCCAAGAGAATCGATAAGAGAAATAAAAGTACGAGAATAATCCCACCGTATAATAAATCGTTGTTGCCAATCTCGCGCCACAAAACGCAAATACAATAAAAATAAATAAATAACGGGATTGGAGAAGAAGAGAACGTACGATAGCGAAGTTGCGCGAGTTCGAATGCCAGAAGGTGGGTTTCATTGGCCGTATGAAGACGACTGGTAGCAGAGGACATTAGAAGTCAGGTGTTGAAAGTAAGGGACAAAGGGGTGAGAGAAGTGGATGAATGGATGGATAGATAGAGTGATGTATACGACGAGGACGATTAAGACAGAGACGGAAGAAAGAAGGGTAAGCATGCCGACATAAATAAAAGTTCTGAGCACTAGGGCGCGCTCGACGATTCCACAACATCGATCACAAAACAATAATAAAAGTAATAATGTAATAATGGCATGCGAATCCCACGTGCGAAGGTCGGTCGGTCGGTCGGTCGGTCGGTCGGTCGGTCGGTCGGTCGGTCGGTCGGTCGGTCGGTCGGTCGGTCGGTCGGTCGGTCGGTCGGTCGGTCGGTCGGTCGGTCGGTCGGTCGGTCGGTCGGTCGGTCGGTCGGTCGATCGGTCGGTGGGATGGGTAGGAACGGGGCAGGCGGGCGGTAGTCGTGAGTCGTGCTCTAGCACAGGGGCAATCGCATGTCAGTTTCAAGTGCTAGAAATACCGGGGGTGTAAACGACGCGCTCCCGTCCACTGTTGAGGGTTGTGTTCTCGTCAGGTTTGGGTGGTGCCGGCATCGCGAACGCCAGCTGCTGGCTCGTCTGTCCCGGGCCTCCTGGGGCTGGGGCGGCCTGCGGCTGCGATATCACCGCCTCCAAGTCACTCTCCTCTCCCTCCTCCTCCTGCTCACACAATGAAGAACAAAGCGATAGTCAGTGGGTTGCGGTTTTTCTGGGGCCAGGCTCCTTAAAACTATTAGACTCGTCACTGTGGCTTTGCGCGCTCGCTCAGCCATTCCTCTCGCCTCTTTTATTACTCGCTCGCTTGGGAGATTGACAGGATTACGGGCGGATGAGCTTTCGTTACGTGCTACTCGGAAAATAGTAGATACTCGGGCGAATGGGATGCTCGCGATTATTAGTGCGATGAGTCAAATGTTAAGCGTGATGTTTATAATGCAATGTAATTGGAGAGAGAAACTTCGCGATCTTACGTGCGACTGGCTCGACGGCATGCCACTTTCATTCGCTTTTCTTTTCATTGGCCACGTAATCATGCGTTGGCCTCCACGCTGAAATAATATGTTATTCACTAGTCCTTGTTCATCTTGAAAATAGATGCATGGCTTATATGATAAGGATTTAGTTATGGATAGCAATGAGCTACAAGGTAGGTGGGTAGGTTAACTTGTTGTATCTACGTGTATTTTGCCGATCGAGGGTTATTTTACTGGGCGCACGTTTGTTTACAGGTTAAATAATAACGGACATAAGATAACATAGCGGATTGGTAACTTGTGAAAACTTGAATGCAACTTTGGTTGCGCGGAAAACCAAACTTTATTCAAAATATACGTATACTTGTGAATATATGTCAAGCAATGTTTGGACGATAAAATCAATGTTTAACTTACCCACTCGTGTGTTATTGCCCGACAACTTTTAACACATTTTCAACATTTAAATAAAATTGCAAAAAAAAAAAAATAACGACATTTATATAGCTTAGCTTGCGAAACACAATAGCGTAAAGCTCTTTAAGAAATATATTTTGACCCCTATATGCACAAATTAACATAAATGGATAGTTGTTTAAATAAATGTAACAGGGAATTCATTATTTACAAAATTACTTTGTATGATAAAACTAGCGAGGCCATTTAAATGCAAACGTTGATAAACTATTTTGGCATTCGTTAATCGAATTCGTTATAATTTCATGCTTGCGAGAATGTTGCATTCGTGCTTGTTTCACTGTTCCGCGTAGAATTTTGAAATCAATTTTATCCGATCAACCGCATATTTTTCAAAGATAATATCGAACTGTTTCGTTAATTTTGTAAATAATAAAGTGGACTTCAAATACAATATCAAGGAAGCGTGCAAATAAATTTTTAAAGTGAAAACGGGATGCATATAAAAACTTACGAACACTTTGAGGTTGACTTGTCATTACATTGGCTTCTGGATTAATCTGGTCCCACTATAATACAACAACAACATAAACAAAACTGCTAAACTATGTACTTTCTCAAAATAATAGGCTCGGCATGCTTGGCAATGAAAACGTTACCGTGCATCTTTATAAACGTGTTTGCAATGTTCAAATCGTTGATACGCAAGAAAAATCAATTCCTTAGCATTAATTTTCTTTCGGTATTGCTTCCTTAAATTGCACATTTCTTACAAATATGCAACAAGAAAGCGGTACCCTGAAATAGAACAAAATATAATTTTCCTTGCGTTACATCGATACATCGATACATCTCAAGCATTTCTTTTCTACTACTAATTTTCTCTTTCTCTTTCTCTCTCTCTCTTCTCTCTCTCTCTCTCTCTCTCTCTCTCTCTCTCTCTCTGATTCTATCTAATTTCTTTTTTCTTTCTCTCCAAATTATGTTGAATTTTATGGTGATCATATGCAAAAATACTAATACGATGATTGTAATATGCAAAAACAGAAAAAAAAAAAAAAAAAAAAAATTAAAAAATATTTGTTAAATTTAATGTTGTCGAGATTATATGTTACTTATGGGAACGATTCTATTTATAAGAGAAAATATAAATATAAACATGATTGATTGTATGTGATTGTCCATATGCTTAAGTGATGTGACTTAAGGTTGTAATTTAATCGTCAATTCGATAATTCAGTGCCAAGAATGCATTGCCAAAAAAATTTAATCCTTCGGAGATAGAATGTAAAGTTCTTGCATTATAATATCGTATCAATATTAAATCAACGCTATTTATTTGGAAAATGTTGAATGATCTCTGTCATCAATAATTAAATTAATTATTTCTTCTTGTACTTAATTCGGTCATTGAATTGACACATACTTAATTCGATTATAATATTAAAAAAATTTACGTTCTACTCGACCAAACATGTGCATGTAATTTATTATTACATGATTATGCATTTATAATTGATGCAGCAATGACATTTATAAATTATTTGCTGCTAAGGCACGAAGTATAATTACAAAATGCGAATACAATTCAAATATAATATATTTAATCGTACTTGATTCTTTAAGTTAAGTGAAAGGATTATCAAGATTCATATTGAAATAAATGTAATGATAATAATGACATAAATTAAAAGTCGTAAGATGTAAGAAGTAATGTACAAGTGTTTGGGACTGGAAGAAAATTTAAATAAATATTCAATCATTGTAACAAATCTTAATTATTATGAAACATATAATTGACAAATTTTTTTCCCCTATATTTCATTATGAAATACGAAACAATGCAATAATGTAGAAATGTATGAAAAAGTGAAATAAGATCGATACGATTTGTGTACAGAAAGCGCGCAAACGCACGCACGCACGCACACGTATGCAACATCTCATTGTGTCACTCTGAAATTGAATATATTTCAACAAATTTGTCGGTGACTTCAGCTAATTGATTATGCAGAAATGAAATGGTGACGAAATATAATGTAGTAACGAATAGAGGAAATATATTTTATAATAATGCGTATAATTAATGGTAAAATGTATAAGAGTATACAGGTGAAAAAAATAAATACTAAAAAAATTTGATAATCCTAAAGGCGTAATGAAGTAATAAAGAACAGTGATAGCAATTTTCAACAATACAATGTGCAAAAATCTACATTTTACAACTATTATAATGATAATTGTAAATATGGAAATAATAGGCGAGGAGAATACTCACCATAATAAACGAAACGCCTTCTAAATACAAATCGAGTAATAATAGATTTCTGCTTTAACATTTCAACTCGGTCAATACAATTATTGTCATTATAATATTGAATAAAGAATAGCCTAATGGCGGACAAATCTCTAAATTTCGATTCATTTAATTGATTTATTATATTATGCTGTGTCTTGCGTCTGGTGGCATTGACGCCGTAGCTTATAATATAGAAGAAATTGTAGAAATTGTAGAAATGATTTCCATTTGTAGCATATGAAAGAGAAATTAAAATCAATGATAAATACAGTGTCGATAATGGTGCAGTGTATTAGAAAACTTGAAGTGAAACTTTCTCAAATAAAGCAGAAGGTTGAATCGTGTCTTTATAGCTTTGCATGCTTAATGAATATTTGGAAAACTCTTTGAAAAATCTTTTTTCAACATATGCAATATATTTTCATTAATTCTTTTCATGTGATGTTTGAATTTCAATCGGTAACTTTAAATTCTTACATATGCACTCCCATCTCCTCTCTCTCTCTCTCTCTCTCTCTCTCTCACTCTCTCTCTCTCTCTCTCTCACTCTTTCTCTGTCTCTCCGCATCCCTTTATTAAATCACATGTATTGTGTATGATTAATTTTTAAAATAAACTTGATCATTTTGTTTAATGAAAGTTAATTACTGTTAATTATTCAAATTGTAAAATTATATTTGTTCTTTAGCATATTTTTGAAAAAATCGATTAACATGCATAGCCGAAAAACCATTGATAAAAGCAATAATTATTTATACATACGGATCTTCCCCATTATCGATGTATAATTCATAATTGTTTCCTACGAATCCACTGTAACTTACAACAAATAAAAAAAAACACAACACTAAACAAATATGGTAATGCGTGCATATGTAAGTCTTCCTAATAAAATAATAAACTTTATATCGGATCATAATTTAAGAAATAAATCTGTAACGATTAACCTAACAACGACTATTATTAAACTGTTATCTGTAAAGTAATATTAAGGAATAGATACATGCAAGTGAAAACATTAGTTTTCATAAATTTTTCATTTTTTAATAAATTTCTGGTGCAGTATCCAGTACCTTAAAATTTCATAATTATTTTTGAAACTTGTCAAAACTTTATTGAATTTGGTTTAAAAGAAAAGAAAAAAAAAATACAATAAAATACTACTTCGAGTAGTGAAAACGTGCCATCAGCTACCAAATAAAAAATAAATTACTTAATGACAAAAGAAATTATAAAATATATGATCCAACCTGTAGATTGTGATACGATCCGCTATCTTCTGGCGGCGTTGGTTTACATTTGCCACAACAGAAGTTGCAGCAGCAACAGCAACAGCAACCGGTGACGCAGCAACAGAATACTAAGAGGAACTAGAATTGAAAGATTTTTCATGAAAACCAAATTTTCGTACAATAATAGAAATAAAAAAAAAAAAGAAAAGTAAATAAATATATAAAATAAAAGTAAAATATTAATAATAATAATATCAGTAATTTAATTTAGATGATAATGAAGTAATAAACAGGTGTCATACCTTAGCCCACATGGATGTAAGGAAGAAGAAACAACTTTCTTCTCCAAATTGTTCGGCAACGTAAAGTCCAAGGGATCCATAATTATCATATATGTTGCGTTTGCTTAAGTCGGTTAAGATTCTCTTTGCCCTATTAATTTCTTTAAACTGCAAAGCAAAACATATTATTACTTTAAAGCAGAAGCGAATATTAGATTAATCGACCTACCTTTTCAGCTGCTTCTGGATTATTGGGATTCTTATCGGGATGATATTTAAGCGCAAGTTTCCTATAAGTCTTCTTTATGTCTTCGGCTGTTGCAGTTTTTGGAATTTCTAGTATAGCGTACAGGGAGTCCCCCGATGTTCTGTAAAAAGCAAAGCAAAATTTTAAGAAATTATCCATAAGCAGTCCATCTAAGTTGCGATTAATTAAATTTCACTTCAACAATTACTTAGACACGCTGTAAATTTCCTTTCCCCTCGAAGCTTTATCTATCATAAATAATTTACTAAGTTTAATATGCTTTAAACAATTAAAAAAATACAATTAAACGTCCAAGAATTTTTGAACTACAATTCCATAAAATATTATTTCTGTCTAAATAGATTACACGTACCGTCGAAAGTGCGTATACCTTAACAAAAAAGATTTCCACATACCATTAAACTATTTAATGAAATTGGCATTCAAGTCGTGTAATATAAAAAAATACAGACATACCACTAACAAGAAACATTATTTGTCAATTAATCTTAGATAAAGAAAATTTCAATGTTCGTGACTGATAAGGAAGTAATCGAGGTTTTGGGTCCCTGGGTAAGCGTCGAAAGAACAAACGTTAAAACTCTTGGCTATAATTGATTGACAACTTATACCCACGGTTCTCTATTACTTACAGATACACAAATATTTGATTAATCATAGATAAGAGTTGCAGAAAGCAAGACAAGAGGAATAAAGTGGGAGTTTTGGAACGTGTTACTCGTAATGCTAAATTCTTTAGCATGTTTCGTTGATTCTCTAAAAGACTTGGAGCTCTTAAAGTATACATGTCTCGTGTTTACCGTATCAATCAATTGTTAAGCCATGCCCCCATGTACAATAAGAGATAAAGTGTCACAGCGCTATAATGAGAAAAGCATTTCACACGTACCACAGCATATAGAGCAAATAGAAAGCCGTACGTATCAATCAATTAAAAGGTAAGTGGAATGAAGCAGTAAATACGGGCGGAGTCACGTAAATCGCATCGACCGTTAGTAGATAAACAGGTAGGGGTTACTCGTTATTTCGGACCGAATCGTCGCGACCAACCATCCACGTCTGTAATAAGCGGTTTCGAGCTACGAGCCGACTTCAGAACGATGATGCCCAAGGTGCTGGTCGAGCAAAACCAATTACCCTATTAAACGAACACTCTCGCGCTGCTCCCGCGAGGAGAATTAGCCTCCACGGAATCCTTAACTCCCCCTCGCCCTCGACCACGCAAAACCCGCATACTTACGACAATTTTCTCTTATCCATTTCTTCGGTCGCCAGGGTGGCTCAAGGGCAGCTTCACTCGTTCCCTGTGGTTTATCTGCCTACACGATGTGTAATGTTGGAATTCGTTCGACGAAGCTGATGCGGTTATCGCGCGCGCACACACAGACGGCCTCGGGGCTTCGCTCGGTTACGCGAACATCTTGGAACGTGGGCTTCGTGCTCCTGAGAAAATGTGTGTTCGCGAGCATAGACGAGCACGACCACCAGTCCTCCTATCGGCTCGTCACTGTCGTCTGTCTCCTCACTTTCGTTAACGCATATACGCACGCGATGAGCAGCAACGTCAATGAGCCAACGGACCCATTCAATATTTTAGTACGAGATGACGCCGCGCGCGGCACCACCTCCGCCCCTGCCCTCTCGAACCCCGTTTCAATATTATATCAACGTTGTCGCGGCTACGACGCGCTCCACGACTACGGTTAATCCGCTCCTGCTCACTTTAATCTCTCATGAAATCCCTACCGTACAGGCTGCACGTAGTTGCTTAGTACAATGGTGAACGGACGATTGATTAATTGTAATGCGGTTGCCTTGCGACTTCTTAAATTGGCCACGAAAGGGTGGGGTTGGGGGTGGGGGTGGTGGCGACGGTTAGGCGGTTAGGGGATTGTTGGGGCTGAGAGGAGGCGATGTTAAGGTGGCGGTGGCGGTCGCGGTCGGGCGTTATTAAATTCCTAGTGAATTTGTAATTTTTAACGCTTAGTCGATAGACCGATGAAGGCTGGCATTGCTGCAGGTGGTAGACAGCCTATTAAATTGCGATGGATATGAAGAAGTTTTGATGTGACGGTCGTGGCGCCCCGGTGGCTCTATCCAGATAAAATAATTGCATCGTTGCACGGGACATTTAATACGAAATCGTGGCGAGGATTGACGCCAGCGAAATGGTAAAACAAAATACTTTGGAATTTTTCGTACTTTGACGTACTTCGATGCTGCTACATTGGAATGACGAGAGACCTTTTGCGAGACTCTCCTCGACCCAAAAACTTTGACGTTCCAATGGCTTTTTACGCATCGATTTATATTCACATTAGACTTTCGGGGTTGCCATTGGACGGCATCAAGTTTTCAATAATTAAATCAAAAGACAAAAAAAACCTTTTTATATTTCAGATGATTCACCACTTCCTGGTTAGGAAATATGGCTATGGAGAAAATCTAGTGTCTAATTGATATTTCATTTTTTTTTTTTATATATATATATATATATATATATATATATATATATATATATATCTAATCGTAAATTTGGACGAAAATTATCGTTCGGCTATTTTATTTCCAAGCCTGATATGAGAAAGGGCGATTGTAGATACGACGACAATATCAGTCTCATTGGTAATAAAATAACAGAAAATGCGTTTAATGATAAAGTAGTGTAGTTTAATGGGCACTAAAGAGAAAATAAATACAAATTAGACGGTTGGCAGCGTACAAACAATAGCGTTATATATGTGGGGCGAGAGTCAGAAGAGCAAACCCAAAGAGCACGGGAATGTGAAATATTTTATGTACGAGCGAGCGCAATTGTATTTATCGCCTATACCAATTCGTCGTTCGTGTCAATAATCTCATATTTTTCTTCCAAGAGCTGCATTATGTTACATTCTTTACTCTATCGTCAAGCCCAGCAATCCTTTTTCTATAAATCTATGTGCTTTTACATTTGCACTTGTTGGTATGTAACTGCAGCGTCGATTAAACATCTTCGTCTTTCTTATCCTGTCTGTCTGTATTGTTCATGCGTTTATCCTCGTCATTTTTCTTCTTTCTTCTCACTTCATTTCAGCATGCACTATCATACAGCCTATAAGTCGAACGACATTTAACACGTTTGAGAAAAATAATTAAGAGGATAATAGACAAAATATTATTGCATTTAAATGAAATAATACATTTACAATCGCCTTCGTTAAATACTCTCATTCCACGTTTGATCATTTTCTATTCTATTCGAATTTTTTCTTCACCGCTTTTTTATATATTTTTTTAATACACTACACTATTTAATGTCGTATATTAAAAAAGGAAAAAAATACCTCAAATATTTTAAAATGAGTTTGATTGTATAATAAATAAATATATTATATTTATTTTATGTGAATTCGACTTAAGAAATCAAGTCAAAACAATAGCGTGCAATAGGATTGGAAATTATTCGTTTTGAGTATATTACAAAGCAATTACACCTAATTTGGTAGAAAAAAATACAATAACGACAATTATCATTTTAAATGTTATGCGCAAAATTACAAATGAAATGCAAAAACATTATCGTACATTAATGTTATTGTACTCGTGAAACATATTAACGTATTTATGTTCTAAAAAGTAATAAAATATTTACGTGAGTGTATTTACGTATATATAATTTTATATATACAATTTATTTATTTATTTATTTTTAAAATACATAATGTAAATGGTTTTAACTATACATTTCATGTATAATATATATATATATATATATATATATATATATATATTCATTGATTAATTTGATATTTTTACATAAAAGTTACTTCGTTTGTGGAAGCTAAAACAATAAGAATTCTTAAATTGTTCAATATTTACATTTCAATCACCCGTTAACACATATTATGTGAATTCATTATAATATCTGACAAATTTAAATAAATACAATAATAACGTACCTTCCTTCTCGGTTATAAAGCAATAAGAAAAAAAAAAAAGAAAAACAAATCATTTTCATTGATTTATTCGATAGAATGTTTTTTTTTTTTTTTTTTAAGCGTTTAAACTTCAATAATTTATGCGCTTATTTAACATTAAATGCGAGATCCAATCGTAATTTCCCTAAATTGGTTGCTTCACGCAATGTGTTTCTCGAACATAATAATCATTTAATTGATTATGTGAGGCTAAATATTATTAGAGGCTCGACTCTCCTTTTTCCTAGATCTTGTTGTCGTCTACTCTATCGACTCTAAGCTAATATCGACTCATTCTTATTCCATAATTATTCGAGCATCTTATTTTACTGCCTAAACAAAATTGAAATCGGATTGAACTTGCTCTTCTTTATAAAAGAAAAAAAGAAAAAAAACCATACACGATAACAGAAGATAAAGTAATAATATGTACGGATCTTGCACGGTGCACTCATGTTGGGTACGGTAAGAGAGAGAGAGAGAGAGAGAGAGAGAGAGAGAGAGAGAAAATAAGTTGGGGAGGAAGAAGGTGAGTAGAAGAGTGTAGGAGAAGGATAGGCGCGATGGAGGTGAGGAGGGGGAGGAGATTTATACGATACTCGGAACGTGCACATAATATATTTGCATGAATTCGTGCAATCTGGAAACACTTTAAGAAACATAAATGTATGACGGTTAATATATTAAAAATTAAGCTACTTGTTTCAAGATATTTCACATTGGTTTTGCTCTTTCTCCGTATCATTTGCTCTCTCTCTCTCTCTCTATCTCTATCTCTATCTCTTATGCGCTAGTACTGTAACGAAATAGTATTAATGATACACAATATTCTGAGACCTGGAGGAGAGTTTTATAACGAGGCGATTTCTTCGTCACCGCATAAATATAATAATAAAATGTAAATAAGAAACAAAACAAAAAAAAAAAAAAAGAAGTAATATAAAATCTATAATTTTTTGCCAACAATGACAATCATAAAAAGGTGAAAATGATACAATATTTAATAGTAAAGCTCGTGCATTCAAAAGTTAAATTTACAAGAAATTTTTTGCAAGAATTAACATTACATGATTTAAACAATCTTTTCTTCATTGTTAAGTAACAGTTTACAATATCTTTTGTTCCAACAATTATCAATAACAGTATAATAACTACAGTAATTTAACATTATAACGAATACATACGTGAAATTCTTAAACAACTGTACATAATTAATCATCTAAACACAGCAAGTCAAGAAATCTGCTGCTTTTAAAAATTACATAAAAAATTGAGTATTTAAAGTTACAAAATTCTGCTTAGTTCTAAAAATAATTATTTTAGAATTAATATATTTAAACAAATTATACATAACAAATTTTCTTCATATAAATTGATCTGATTTCTTGTCACGCCGTTAAACATTTTACATTGGTTAAAAAAAGAGGAAAAAAAAAGGAAAAAAAAAGAAAGAATCTTACCTTAAAATACCTACTTTTTTTTTTTAATTTACATAAATATTATGCATATCGTATTCAAGTAATTTCAAGTACTTAACTTTCAAAATGGTTTTACCAAGAAACTATCCTGCTTTGAAATATACATAATTATGATTATACAACAATCTTTCTGCAAGTCTTTGGCAAATTAAAGCTTTTCGCAGAAAAAGGTAAGACTTCTATTTTGTACATTATTTTCTTTAACGATTGTACTTATTAATAATATCGTTAACTTGTCAAACCTTTTACCCTTCGTACTGACGAACCTTTAGACTTTCTAAAATTTTTTTTCGTTCGTTTTTGTTTTTACTATATTTATAATTTAAAAAATATCGAAAAGCTGTACAACACTGGTCGTATAGAGGAAAAAATAAAAATATACATATTGATATTTACTAGAAAAATTAGTTACATATGGCATATCATAAAAAAATCTTGATATCAAATAATTCACTGTATTTTACAATTTAATTGTCTAAGTGTAAAACTTAAAAAAAAATAAAGAAAATGATGAAAATTAAGGTTAAATTTAAAAAGTGACCCTGTTTTTATAGATAAATTTTTGAACATGTTGTCTTTTTCCATCTATAATATGTAGAAATTGTGTTGATATATATATATATATATATATATATATCATTACACTCTGTGTATGCGTATGTTTATAATATGTAAGGTCTTACTAGTCACAGAAACATGCTTATACTGTACTGAGAAGCGTGTATGTTATGGTTTTTTTTTCTTCTACTAATAAATATAGGTAACGTACATTTGATACCATAAATATATCAATAAAAACGCTACATTGCACTTGCCACAAGAATTTTGTTTTACAAAAAAAAAAAAAAAAAAAAACATGACATCCAAAAAGCATAATTTATACTTCTGCTTCGACTATTTGACCTTTTGAAAGATGTAGACTATTGTATTATTATTATTTTTGTTTTTTTTTCTTTTGTTCTCATAAAGATAAAGCACGATTATATAACATTTTTGTATAAAATTATTATTTTTATTAGTGAATAAATGAATTTCTTTTTTCATAAATAATTTTTTTTTTTTTTATACGTGGAATCTACGTTTTGAAAATCAGAGATTGAGAAAATAATCGAACTTACTAGATTTCATCCTCTAGTATATAAAATATTAATTCTAGTACAGTTTGTGTATCCTCACAGCCTTGTACAGCTTTTTGTAAAACTTTAATGAGTTCGTTATCTAAGCTATTCATATAAATCGGTGGTAAACGTGTTCCCTCGCTTCCTGCTTCATAACCAACCTAAAATTGCAAAATAATAATATGTAAAATGTAAAATATACGGTGTTTTGATACAATATATTTCATAATACTCTATTGCTTTCTTGATTATTCATTTCTTTAACTCTATTTCTCTTTAATATGTTTATTTTTCTTACATTATCAGGATGAATGGTAGTTCGCACAGCAATTTTCGTAAGTCCTGCATTTGCCAATAAATCTAATAATTTAACGAGTGCCACGCAAGTGGCTCGAGCTATACTCTCCGACAATTTATAATGCATTCCAAACGCTTGGTCATCATCCGACTAAATTATCAACATTTTAATAAACCAATTCATCTATTATACATTATATTAAAAATATTCACCTTAATTATAAACAATTCCGTCCAACGTATAAACCTACTCATTCCCACACAATTGGTTATTCTATGAACTCGTATTGACGGTATTCCATCCATAGGCTTACCATCGATAGGACTTTTAACCCTAAAAATAATAATAATAATTATCAATTTTGTGTATACGTATGTGCGCGCACGACGTGCATACATGTAATATAAATTTGCTTACCCAAGATTGAACTGCGTATCATTTTCGACCCATTTAATATTCACAATTTCATCTGGCTCTGGAGCACCTTGTTGACCGCAACCAATCGTAAAGTCTTGCATATTTTTAAGAGCAGCTTTTAATGCTTCCATTTTCTCGGGCATTATTTGAACAGTTATACCATCTTCTACGATCCTTGATTTTGCCGAAAGACCCATAGATGATTTGAGGGCACCATTAATAACGATAAAGCTTGCACCGGTAACTAGAACCGGTAAGATTTTGTAATAGTGATAATCGTTAAAATCACTTCGTAATCATTCGTATAAAAATGAAAGATAATAAATAATCACCTTTTCTTGGCTTATTTTGTATATTTATGGCCTGAGTTTGATAAGTACTTTCAACCTCAGAATTTGTTTGCATACATACAAAGTGCGAATCGGCTTGAATACTAAAATTTGACGCAAACGCTAATACATGATCGTTTGAATTATTTAAGCCCTTAATTACTTGATTATATCGATTTTTCGGGAATCGTACGTGTGTAGTATTATCTTGCATATGAATGGTCAAGCCTTGCACTTTGGGCAAAGAGTAGGCGAAGTTACGAAAATCAGCCAGTACTCTTATAATCGTATGACCAAGTTCAAAATACACGGCTTCTCGAAATCGAACGGATACCAAAGGACACGGATAATAGCGATACTCAGCTCCCAAGCGTAAAACAAGTCGCAAGGGAAATATTTTCGCCCACGGTGTCTCCCATCTGCATGATCGTGCAACATTTCATTAATAACATAGTAATTTGCAGAAGTTTAGGTTCTTTGTTTTTTGTTTTTATAATTATTTCGTTCTACCTGTGGACTAAAAGACCAATGAGAAAGGGAATTGGCGGCACGACGATCTTCTGTAAGCACTGTAGAGTCTGTCTTATAAACAGAAATCCGGCGTGTTCACGAGATCCCAATAAATTTCCATTCTGATGTATCGACATACCATATTCGGATAGTTGGTTACCTGCGTTCAACATCAAGCGATAAAAACAAATCAATCGTAATGTTTAATTATTAAATTCGTTAGATAGCCTTAATGTATAACCTCTAATAGCTTCATGATAGAGCTGATTAATGTGCAATAACAGATCTTTTGGCACTAGAGTTTCATCCGGTAGCATTTCAACCAAAAAAACCACTTCATCTTGGCCAAAACAAGCCAGACCTTTGGACGTTACGTTCCAACATATTCTGTTGACGCAGCAGTTTACTGTAATGAATAACAACTCAAAATTAATTAATTCGTCCTCTTAACGTCGTCCTACGGAATTCATACGGTAATTTCATCTTCAAACTCACAATTCACTATTTTTACGTATGCATATAGATTGCGATTGATTGCGAACATAGTCGAAGGCTCACATTCGTTTTTCAATGATACGTATAGGCTGGCAGTATCGAGAATTTCGTGATAAGTAACCTCTACAAATAATAGATAAAATTAGTGAACGATATGAAAGGTAAAACTGGGGTGATGGATGAGGGAGGGTGGTAGGTAGGTAGGTAGGTAGGTAGGTAGGTAGGTAGGTAGGTAGGTAGGTAGGTAGGTAGGTAGGTAGGTAGGTAGGTAGGTAGGTAGGAGGTAGGTAGGTAGGTAGGTAGGTAGGTAGGGAGGGAGGTAGGGAGGGGAGCGCGGATTAATTGCTTTTAATTAATTTGAATGCAAATCGGTTAACCCCTTAAGCTCTCGCTATTCAATGGTCATTTAAGTAGATTTGAAAGTTACATAAACAATCAATTATGACGTATTAATTCATAACGACAAATCATTATAACCATTTATACATTTAATTTCAAAAGTTTCAAATTTAACAGGTTAACGCGCCCTACGCATACTCGAACAAATTTTCCACAATATTCACATTGTTATAATGAATATGCCAGACGAGATCCTTGCACTCGCTCAAAACAATCACCTACCCGATGCACTTATAACAAAAAATCTTACAATCCTACCGATCTATCAGCAATTTCATAATAACTTCGATGCACACTCGATTATTGCAAATTAATCCTCAATATATGGATTGAATATAAATAACGTGGTATATAATGGGATATAATACTCACGTCCTTTGTGTACGGTAACCGTGGGTGGTAGAGCCGCGGGGTCCTGAGGTATGTAACTGTTTGTTACGGCGTCAAGTCGTGGACAATTTTTATTAGTGGATGCTAGCATGTAACCACCCACCATTCGTCTGCTATTTCTTACGGACGGCGGCATCCAGTCCCAGGTTGTATCGAGCTCTGTCAGGTCACAGCCAGGCCTTATTCCTGTTTTTTTTTTATTAGACGCGTGTGAAAACAAAACATACGGGATGGAAGAGGGCTCGAAGCACTTTTACACGCTCCGAGGGAAGTAAATAAAAATTAATCTTGTATTGTATAGGAGATTTAATAAAACATAAAACTAACAAAAAAAGATTTTGAAAATTGTGAGTGCGTGTATGTGTTGTGTATGCGTCGTGTTAGTATACGCGCGCCAATACGCTTACTACTTATTTATATATTTATATGCCGTATATAAAATGGCGCAAATACGCAATACGTAACTCTTGTATTTATTTGGGGTTTTTATAAGACGCGCATTGAAAATCAATCAATTAATAGATAAGTAGGAGCACGGCGGTAAACAACTCCCCCACTCCCCCGCCCCTCACTCCGCCCCACGCAGTCTTTTATCAAAACTTACCGTCGCTGAACATCACAGACTTGGATCCCTCGGAACGCTGCTTCGTGCTACTTTCTCGCTTCAGAACACCTACGGGCACCATGACTGTAGGAGGTGGTGGCAAGCCACCTGCCAACTGTTGCAAAGGTGGTATTGTTGAACAGTACTCCATTGGATTATTTGGGTTAGGCTGTCTCCCCTATAACCATTTGTCGAATACTCCAGAACTCTGATACTTTCGCTTTTATAAATTAGTGGATAATTTAGACTTGCAATTATCATAGAGATATTATTATCGATTTTTTAATTTTTATTTACTTTTTTTTTTTTATTTTTATTTATTTATTTTTTTCATTTCTTTACGTTTAATGGAAGTCTTGTCATGCATGCATTTCTTCAAAATCAACTTATTTGTATTACCTATCCAGACCAGCGCGTTACTTGCAATTTCTACGATTAACAATGCTCGGGCAATCGTTATACTGACAACGCGCTAAAGGGGCATTATTAGCCTTTCATCGCGATAATAATAATTCGTAATTTAATCGTCTGGATAGTCAATAAAATAAACTTATAGACTTTTAGGTAATAGTTGGATTTAATTGTTCATGCTCGAATGACTAGCACTGTGAGATATGAGGTATTCAACAAGTTGTTACAGGTGTATGCTTGTGCATTCTCTAGCTACTATTTAATTAAATAATTATGCAATTTGCAGTGTCAACTGCAACGCACGAGTTACAAAATGTAAGTGTAATGCGAGTCTAATGGGAAATTACCTGGGGTGAATTTATCCCAGCACTGGCGTTTAAGAATCCCGCGTAGTCTCCCGATCCCGTATCACTTTCAGCTAAAAGGAAGCAACGGGGATCGGTTGAAAAGATTGTTAAAAACAGCCGATCGTACGATTATTATGCAATAATTAATAATAAAGCAAAACCTTTGGTAAGAAGTTGATGACACGGTATACAAACTCTGGAATCGGCATTACTTTGGAACTCTAGTCGATATCTCATGTTGCAGCATTTGTTACACAACACCTTAAACAGCATAAATGTCATTGTAAATGCATTCGTCATTGTAAATATATTGATTTTGACATTTTTACCTTTCCGCAAGCTCTACAGTGGTGTCTTCTTTTCATAACGGTAAACTTTATGTCGCAAAGCATACAGTTTGGGGCATCGCTATCGGGCACCCAAAATGGTGGCTGCTTTCCAAGGACGGTGCCAGATTCCATGGAAGAATTCTCTGATACATCCGGAGATGGAGCCCTTCCGCTATCTTTATCACCTTCGACATCCGACGTCTCTTGACTGTACGCAGCTCCTAAGCATACCGAAAATCATTACTTATATAATTATGTGTGCGCGCGCGCGCGCGCGTTCGTGCTTAATATATCAACCTGCTGATGACGAATCTGTCATATTAACTGCAGAGACAACATCTAGAGTTTGAGGTCTGGTTGGTCGATTAGGATCGTCATCGCCACTTTCCGTATGTTCCGCATTATTATCTCTACTTTTTTCTCTACTATGCGAGTGATTAGGTTTAATTCTACCACCTAGTTTATCATTAACGTCGACATTCCTCGTAACTGAAAACCTTGAAATTGTCTCGGTATTCCTAATCGGTGTTCTCAAAATCGCTAATTCTTTATCATCCGAAGAATTATCGGTACTTTGTTCGCTAATTGCCAAATTCTTATTATCAATATCGCCCTCTGATACAGCGGTACTTTCAATATCACTTAAATTCTTATTTTCCACTGATACGATATTTTGAATGTCCTTTCTCTTTTGTTTATTATCTGTTTTACTTGTACACCCATAACTACTATTTTCTTTATCTTTTTCATTATCATCCTCTTTATTTATCTTAATTTCATCTCTATGACTAGAACTTTGAGATGCGGATTCTATGTTATCTGAATTTTTCTTCACATTTTCTTGGGCTTTTATATTCTTATTTATTTTAGTTTCATCATCTTTTAATTGGGAACTAATCTTATTTGTTTCAGATATTTTTACAATAGATGAAAGTTCTTTCGACGTTTCTCCACATAAATGTTGTTTACTATAATCAATTACGGGGAATTTTTTTGCTTTTTCTTGAAGGTCTTCTTGTGGAACTTGAGGTAATTCACCTATGATTACCGCTTCGAATATTGGTGCTTCGTTAGCATCTTCATCGTCGGGCTGAATTGGTAATAATTTTGATTTAAGATTTTCTGTTGGATTATTAATAGAAATATTCTGATAGGTGGACGAACTTTTTTCGTTTACTCTTTCCTCCGCTTCAAGATCTGCTAAATACTTATTTAATTCCTCCTCCGACATATCATCAATTGTGTTAAACCCAACAGTGTGTTTCGGATCTTGAGCTTGAAGTTGAGCATTTTCAAACTGAACGGGCTTGAAGAGTTTTGTATTCGTATTGGTATTCGTACTCCTACTGGTACTCGTACTTGCGCCTGTACCTGTACTTGTATTTAAACTCGCACTCGCACTCGCACTCGCACCTGCACCTGCACCTGCGCCTGCACTCGTAATCGTACTTGTACTTGTACTTGCATTTTCACTTGCACTTATATTTATATTTGCACATGCATTCTGAACTTCGGATTCCAATAGAAACAATTGATCCGACATTTTTTTTGCTGCTATTTCTAACTCAGTATTGGTTTCTGGTAAATTTTGACACTTACTTGTGTAAATACATTCGTACACTCCATCATTGTTGCGCTGTTGCATTGGCATAACATTGCGAGTTCCAAAATTAACATTTTCATAAGTATGTTCAAAATCAGAATACAATTGCCTGGTTGTATTAATTGGGGGATAAAATTCTTGAGTTTTGGGAATATCAGTTCCAATATATACATTCTCATATACGTGCTCCGGTTCGTCTAAAATATTTTTAATAATTTTTTCCGGCTTATCAAAAACATCTGCAGTACAACTACTTTCTATTAATAAGTCTGGAAATATTATATTTTGATCAAGCTTATTAGTATTAATTTCGCTAGACTTCTCTGGGGTACAAGGATCTAATATAATAGGTAATAAAATATTCTGATATTTTGGAGGTACAGTATTGTTGTCCTTTTTCTCTTCGATAAATTCTTCTTGAGTTGTGAGTAGTTCATCGATCGAGAGTTTTTCAACGGGGCCGTCGCTTTTTACAAAACTTTTTATAAATGAATCCGTTACATCAATTATATCATTATTCTGTCTACTCTCTTGTACTTCTTTCGAATCACTCGTTATATCTAAATTAACTAAACTAACATTTGGATTATGAATGAATTCGTTGAGATTATTAAAAACATTACTAGCGCTAGGGTTGACGTTTGGTTGATTTAGTTTATTATTACAACTGTTTTGGTTCGGTCCAACATTATCATTAACTTGCTTTTGTAATAATTTTTGAGATATGTCATTGTGTACGATTAAAGAAGATGATTCAGCTCCTTCGATATTTATGCTTTGCTTATGTAGTATTTTATCATTATGTAGGCTGTCATGTGTATAAAAGTGATTTATAGAATCTAGGCTGTCTGGTATAATCTCTGATTTTCTTATATTATCAATACTCATAGATATAGATTCTTGTTCTTTTGTAATATCAAATTCCTCGCTCTTTACGTCCGTGCCATCTATAATATTTCCTGCTCCTAACTCACTCGTTGTACTGGGTGCCGAAGGTTGATGAAAAACATTTGACGTACCACGCTGCAGAGATAATCTAACGTGCCCTGGGACATCGGCGACCGATGCCATTTGTTCCGCTTGATCTAGAACGCATATTCAAAATGAGACATAACGTACAATTGCGAATATTAATAACGAACGATCAAGTTACATTACCATTGTTAAATTCAAATTCATCGAAGGCTTTGTCCAAATCGACAGTGAATTTCTCCATTATTGGACAGATAACAGAGCAGCGATTATTTACTAAACAGTGCTGTCATTTAACCTAGACGGCTACAAGCTTTCCAGAAACTTGTCGTTAAATAATATAACGAACAAGAAAATGACGGGGGCAACAGCATTTAGAAAAAATCTTACTCCCAGTCAAATGCATCTGAAGCCTTTATTAAGGAGCGCCCGTATCATCCACGTCGTTTCTAAAACGAACGATCGAACGAAGTATCATGAAAAGGCTCGGGGATATCGTCGAAGCGCACGGAAATAGGAAAAATAAATAAAAATGAGAGTAAAGTTGTCAAAAACTTATTTATACCTCGTGACATCAGCTGTGCGTGCGATTGTTGTCTCGAAAGCCAAGAGTATCCTTTTGACAGTCACTTGCACTTACGTGTAATAATGTAATAGCTCAGAGCAGGGATTTGCGAGTCCTCGATCTATTTCTCGCTGTTCTTGAGCTCGGCAAACCGGTGGGTTACTTCAACTTTCGTCCAGATCGCCCTCAGAAATTCAAAGAATGTCCGGGAACGTCATTGGCGAGAAATTTCACGGATGATGTTTGACGACAACGAGCAGCAGCGCATCCGTACGGAGTCAAGAATCTGGCAACTACGACTTGCAAGCTGCCAATTCGTCATAAGTCGTTACTTTGTCTCTCCGGAGCGTGATGATCCTCCAGGGAGTGATCGGAATACCCGTCGCCATTTTTATCAGAACCGGAAATGCTTTGTCTAGCGGTAAAATTTGAATTCTTTCATTAACATAATATACATTCACCTCGGAAATGTTATTTCATATTCCAACGCATTTATATTCATATTTCTGCACATTATACAATTGTAAATATTTTATTAATAATCGACCGTCTTATATATCACGTTTTATTTCAATGATTGATAATGCGATAAAAGCATGAGTTTGATGATTACTGTCAAATTAAATTGTATAGCACTTTATGAAACTAAAATTCTTTCAGTATTTGTGCAAATATATGGAAAGCCTATAATCTTAAAATAAGTTGCATGTATTTATAATCCGTGCGTATAATTGTAATTTATAAAAATATATTCAAGACATTTGTTCATTAATAAAATGCATATATTTGCAATAAGTTGGTAATTTATTACAACATTCTTATTCATTAATATCGTAATTAAAATTTCTTAGAAAATCTTTAACGTACATTTTCATACGCTTAATTGTCTCATCTGCTACATAAGATATATGTTAATGTGTTCGTATGCATGCATATATGTAAATGCACGCTCGCGCACATAAACAAATGCATATAGAGTAGATAATGGTAATTGAATTCATATATTAATTCAAGTTAATTTAATTATTAAAATCGTTATTTTTTTAAAGAAAGATTAAGATAACATTAATAATGATTTTGTTTAATATTTCAATCTTTTCAACAATATATATATATATATATATATATATATATATATATATATATGTATAATATCAAATATAATATTCAATTTTATTTTCAAAAACATGTCAAATGAAAGCATTTATTCGCATTTACACAAATGCTACTAAATATACCTAAACATTTAGAAAAATTAATGTCAATCTTAAAAACTTATCTTCAACTTTATTACATTTCATATATTCTTATATCGTAAAGCATATGATATATCATTTGATGATTTCAATGATATGTTTTATACATAATAAATATTAAATTATATTAAATTATAATATTCAATAATTATACAAAACACAAATATAACAATTAATTAACAAATATTCGCTCGTTGTTAGTTTTTTTAATTTTTTTTTTTTTTTTTATTCTTTTTTTTATCAATTAATAGACAGCCGTTAAGAAATTGAAATACTTCATCTAATATTCAAGACTTATCATGGTTTGTATCTATTGTAATATGCTTATTTTCAGCTTATTTATTATCATTGAATTTATGGAGTTTGTCTAATTCTCATTATTATAATGATTTAAATTCTCCTTTATTAAAAAATATAATTGCATCGATAAGATGCAAGATCCAAGTACAGAATACAAGTATTTTTATAACACTATTTATAAATATCATTAAATGTATAGTGTTAATAAGATTGTTTTGTTCCATAGGTCATAAATATAATAATTGTATTTGTTAAAACATTACATAAAATCATTTAATATACCAAAATTTTAATATTTGAAACAATTATAGCTATTAATAATCAATTTTTATAGCATTTGAAATAATGTTATCGAGTATAGGTTTCAATATTTTATCATTATTATCATTAACGATATTCTCAGATTATATTTTAATTTTATTTTGCATTTATCTCTCATATGATCTAGACATTGTTTGTATCATTGGTGTATGTACAATGCGAGTATTATGAATATATTATTATTTGTCTTATGATATTATAATCTAATAAATGTTATTAAATAATACAGGAATTTTTTAATGTATTGCCCAAGTAAGACTTAAATAGAATTTATAATAGTATAATTTAATTAACACGCTCGTTTACTATAATTTAGCAAGAGCTATTTGTATAATTAAAAAATTTCGAAAAATCATCATTACCAACTGAAATTTTGATCGTAGTCTTAATTATTATAAATGTTTATAAAACAAATTCTTAGAAAAAAAAGTAAATTGAAAATTTCTCTATTGTTTATGGCTTTAATTTAACACATACGATTAGTGTCATAAATATAACATAAATATTATAGTTAATTTAAACTTGGAGTAAAAAATTTAAATTATTGTATTTTATATTTGTAGGTTACATTACGTTCATATGGCGAATAAATCCTATTTTTCGTAAATTTTAGAATTCTTTTCAATGTTAAATACTTATAATTATTATCTCAATAAGCACGGAGTATTGTGATTTATTATTTCAGAAAGTTAATAATAATTTTTAGCTATTTACAAACGAAGTTTGCTCTGTTGTTTCTCCATCTCTCTTACGCTATCTCTTACCAGAGATGATAACTTGACTTTCTCGCTATCTCACTCATATTTTTCTTTCTAGCCACTTTATCTATCTCTATTCTCGCTTTTCAAATAAATCTACGCCGGCCAATAAACAAATTGCACTACTTATTTCGATCGCTCCTTACAGCTTTTCTCACTTATAGGGCACAACATTATACTGCGCCATCTTGGACTGCATTATGTTTACATCGGCTTCTTTGCCATTTTCCCTGTTAAGTTAGTTTCATAGATCACATTGACGCGTGATCTAAAGCCTATACAGATAAGATAATTGTATATTGAGCTCTGAGTGTGCTCTTCGCGCGTAACAATATTATGCCGTAAAAAAAGTTAAAGCCGCAGTGTAAGAGCTCGATTATAGATTCAAAAAAAAATTTAATTGCTTTCGCTTGAAGAACATATAATATTAAGAAATGGATCGATTCAATTGACTACTTGAATTTGAAATCTCGAATTGTTATAAATTTCTTACAACTTGTGTGAGATATTAATTTGTCAATTAAGCACACGAGATTTGCCATTAGAGGACTTAAATTACGATACTCCAAGCTCATTAAGCACTTTTGTGATATTAATCATTAATTCGCACTAATTACATACTAATAATTAATTATAGATAGCGTGCATATTAAAGTCCATTATAACTCGCTTATTACTTACATCAAAGCTCGCAAGATTAAGGAAAGTCGCGTCAATCGAGAAAAATATCTAGACGCCCTGTCCTTTGTTCATCCGAATGCTCTCAACAATCGAATTTGTAATTTATAATTACAATTATCAGCAATTGTATAAATATTTTTAGTCAAGTCAAATAAACTAATTAATTAAGTAATCATACATTTTTCAACAATCTCCTAAAGAACTACGTGCGTCTATAATTTTTTTAATAGATATTTTTATTAAACTTTAATCACTATATATTTATAATGTTTATAATTGTAATTAAAGTTGCGTGTAATCGAATATTTATACACCACCGCTGATAAATATCTCGGCCTTCTATGCAAAATTTGGCATATTAATTATAACATAAATATTTCTAAGATACATAACGATTTTTTCAACGTTCGACCAATCCAGCAGAACCAATCAGACAAGCGTTATGTCGTTGCCAAATCTTAATTATCAATTAAATCTGAAGATATCACAAGCTGTTAAATAATTTACCTTACCTTCCCGTCTAATTTTCATTAATCCGAACAATTATTAATAAACATATTATATTTTACTGGCATATTCCTTAATAGCGAAGAAATCAATGTTTCGGAGAAGAATTTTTAGGATAAAATAATTTTACATACACTATGTGCCATTAGATTGTAAAATGATATTTTTATATTTTACACATTTTCTAACGTCAAGCGGTTAACAATCGCATTAAATATCCTCCACTGGCATCTATGCAAAACTTATTAACCTTTGCTTCACCTTCACTTTCGCATTAATATTTTATTATTTATAATGGATATATTATATACGCATTATTAATAATAATACAGAGGTGAGATAATTGCAGAAAAAAAATTGCACGTTCGGAGCAGTTCGGAGATACTTGAATTTGAAATACTTGTCGTCTTCACTGCAGCTCTTGAATTTACAAATATTATGTGTCATAACGAAAATTATTGCAAATATTTTCATTGTACATTTTTAAAATATTGTTAAATATAATATTGTTCTTTTCATCTTAATTACTAACAATATAGAGAGTAAAAAAATCACATGGAGCATTATTCTTATTTTTTTCAATAATAGGGGCATTAATATTTCGAGTATATTTTACATTAATGCGTTTGATTTTACTTTTTAATAAATTTAATAAATCTCATTTTTATCTAAGCGATATTTCCATTAAAATATTTCATTCTTCATAGCCAAGTAATTTTTAACGCATCACTAGATCATTATTCAAAATAACTCGTGCAAATTTGGATTTTAAACATGTCGGTAGTAAAAAATTATATAATTACTCACATTAAAATACTCTGGTTTTTGAACTCCACTATGTTTAAAATATATTTGTATTTAAATGAAAAAAAATGATAGGAACAAAGTCAGTGTTTTATGTTTTTTGTTTTTAAGTAGATTAACGGCCGAGAGAGTTTTCTACAAATCTTACAACAATTCTTAAATATCAGCATCATTCTCATGAAGATATTCTCATGAAATTAAGTATTTGTTTAATTATTATTAAACGACAGAATGTCAAAATATTATTTTAACGAATCGACAGTTCGTTAAAATCGAGCTCACAGTCATTACTTGTTTTTCAATGTTATGTGAAATTTTTTAAAGCAAATTTTATTCAAATCTAAAATAATTCGCTTATTCTCGATATTATATAACAATATATTCTTCAAACCTCGTAATTTCAAAGAATTATTCAATAAATTAAAATTTTAATAAAAGAAGCTAATAATGGCGTTTTAAATTGACCGATGCCCTATGTTTACTATTCATTTTGCTTATTATCTTAATTTTCTAACAGTTAATAATAAATATTATAGTTTCTCTAGAATATTTTTGTATCTCTACAATCACGATGATGGAAAAAAAAAATAATTATATTCTTTTGCCTTTTCATTATTACTGTTTTGCTGAGTATCAAATTCTTTTTGCCAATTTTATCATTTTTTTTTTTTTATTTTTTTTATTTTTAAATATTTTATTATTATTATTATTATTGTTAATGTTATTGTTATCGTCATTATTATTATTATTGTTATTGTTGTTGTTATCGTCATTATTATTATTATTATTGTTATTGTTGTTGTTATCGTTATTATTATTATTGTTGTTATTGTTGTTGTTATTATTATTATTATTATTATTATTATTATTATTATTTGTAAACTCAAGCGGGCATAATTTTGAATACCAAATTAAAAGAAAAATTCTATTAAAGTGTGATGTTTTTCAAATTTATTTAGTCGCTTAAAATTGTATCTCATTAAAGTGTGCATTAAGAGGAGATAATGATCTCGATAAAATCAATAATGATCTCGATAAAGTCAACATTATTTATACTCATTAAGAACAATTATCTACGACTTTTATTTACGTAATGATTAGCGTGGTTTATTTTCTAGCTCTTTTAAAACTGTCTTTTCTAATTACTATTGTTATTAAAGAAATGATTTTTATAGTGATATAGTCTTAATCTGCTCGGCGTTGATGATTTTTATAACTTGGGCATAAATTAAAGTAGGCATACTAATAGCGTTATTGTTTATTTATGTTAAGTCGGTGGCCATTGTTATATGATTGATCGTCTGATTCATTTAAGATAGAATTATTTTTATTGCTATACTAATTGTTGTTATTCTTGTAATCCATTTTCAGCACGATTTAGCATCTACAATTGACATTCGCTCTTTTCATATTTCGACAAACAAACAGTTAGTTATTACTTTATTTATATTGATATTTGCGGTAACAGTGTTAAATACTTAAATACTCTGCCGAGAATTTTTGTATTATTCGCGAAACTTGCAGGAATTTTGAAGAAGCAAATGAAAAATAGGAAAAAAAAAACACTTTCATTGACACGTAATAGACGATAATTTAAGCATAAGAGCTGTAAGAAGTGTAAAGAAATTCGAAATGCGGTAACACTAGTGAGTCTCTCCTTTTTCTTAACTGTAGATTATTTGCAATGCCTATTCTTTTTCTTTTATTTTTTTTTCTTCTCTCTTAATTTTTTTTAATTTTTTTTTTACAGATAACTCATTTATTTACTGCTACTCTGCTATTGCGATCTTTACTTAGCTCTATCAAATTTATATACGTATCTTGTCGATATTTTTCTGTTTTTTTTTTTTTTTTTTTTTTCATTCTTTTCGTGTGCAGTTTTACTCGCGTGTAGTAACTTATAGCCTTATAGTCGCGTCAATTCATTTGTGTCAATTCTTACCGTCAATATTTCCAACATCAAAGCAAATAAATTTATACATATAAAATGCTGCATTGGCGTTACTCTTTCGTTTCTCGTAATATTCTACTCAACATTACACTTACTAATTTCATCTGTACCCGTCATTTATTTTTATTGATTTTTAATTAATTTTATTACACCTGATTTGGCTTAACAGTTTAATTTCAAGTAGAATCGTTTACTCAGAGGAGACAGAGAGAGAAAAGTTATCAATTTATATTGAGTTGAAAAAAATTCTTTAATACATTATATTTAAACAAATATTAGAATAATAGATAATTTTGATACTTTATTCTTGTTTTGTTTGCTATTGACTTTCGTTACCTCATATTCGAGTTAATTCCAAGAACGTATATTTGAACATTCTGATATATCCATTTTTTCCTTGCTTTCGCGTAGTCGACATTTATTCTATTTACGGTTAAATCGATTATATCATTGCGCGTTTACTGATTCTAGTTTATCTTCTAACATCCGTTCTTTCATTGTTATAAACACACACAATGTCATTCTCACATTACGAAAGTTTTTATATTGAATTTGCCAAATATTACTTTCGCACTAAAGAAACGAATAGACTTAATTTTATGTTCTCTTATTTTTATATTCACAAAATACGTTTAAAAATACATTAAAATACACGACAATAATAGAATCCATTTATCGCAAATATATATTAAGAGTTCGTAGAATCTTTTCCACTTTAGTTGCCATTTTCATTTATGTATAAATATTTTTTCACCCGCTACTCTAATATGTAAATGTTATGTAATCGAAATTTTCTTTATTAATAATATGTCGTATAGATTGAAAGCTCTTGGCTTTAATTACACTATATTACAAATTGTCCAAAGAATTATAAGTTGAGAAAAAATAAATAATATAATATGAAAATTGTAAGAATTTGAAACATACAAAGATTTCAATCGCTGTAGATTTTATTTTTCTCTAGTAATTTTTGCTACAATTCCTAAACGTATATTTGCTTTATCCTATCGTGTTTTATATTGTTAACAGTAATATGATAACATTCACCGATAATTATTAGATTTTACTTATAAATATGTATAGAAATTAAGCAAAACAAAACAAAACAAAACAAAAACAAAACAAAAACAAAAACACAAAACAAAACAAAAACAAAACAAAAACAAAAACAAAAACAAAACAAAAACAATTAAAATTATATAATTAAGTATATTATTGTCGTATAAAAAAGTATATAATTAATATTGCATTTGTACATATTAATGGATGTATCATGTGTAATATATTTATGCAATACTAATGTTTCACCTATTGTCAATACATTAATTCTCCCTTCTTTTTTCTCTTCATTATTATCAATGATTGTAAGAAACAAGCTCAATGGCATTAGAAAAAATTTCAAACGTTATATCCGACTTCTTTTTATGTCAATATTCTTGCAATAATGATTATTACAAAGGTAAAAATGTTTCAGAGCAATAATTCTATTTACGATGTTATATTATTAGAGCTTTTTGTTTGCTTATCGAGCCATCTCTAATATAAAATTAACAATACATTTTATTTATTTTATTCTAATTTCTGTATTTAAAGAGACTTTTTAAACGAACGTAATGAACAATGAATATTATCACGTCTCAGTCATTTTATCAATGATCATCGCATGAAGAATAAGTGACGTTTTACACGAATAAACAACATATATAGAGTAGCAGACACGTCGAGATGTAAAAGTGTCGTTGAAGTAGCATGAAATAAAATTTTTAAAGCAAACTTAGGCAAACTTAGCACCTTAAGGAGAACGCATCTTTTGTGCGAGTGAAAATATTTTAAGAATGGAGCAGTCAGCAAATCAACCTTCTTACAGAATAACATATCGATTAACATTTAATACAACGAGTTGTGATTATGGATTTATGGAAAATACTTATATTAATTTTCAAAATGCCGACTCAGCAAACAAACATACCTGCCCAAAAATGCATTTTTACATTACATAAACGCGTGTAAGCTCATATTATACGCGCATCCCACTGAAATAATACTACAATCTATTTTCTCAACCTCAATTGTTAATTTTAACAGGACGCTACATAATTCAATTGTTTCATAAATAGCCTATACTTTTCTCATTTTTTTCTATTATAGATCTTTTTTTTTTTTTTTTTTTTTTTTTTTTTTTTTTTTACGAAGTATTGAAATTTGCATGTTTTTAACGATCGTGGGCATCGTGGAGATAGCGAAGGTCGTGGCAGTGATGCAATCAACTCGTAATGAACTTACTACAATCGTATATATCCGTGAGATCGTTATCGTTAAACGTTTACGTAAGGATCGTAATGAACTTACTACAATCGTATATATCCGTGAGATCGTTAAACGTTTACGTAAGGGGTGGGTGGAGGTGAAAGGGATGGTGGGTGGAGGGGGAGGAGATCGTTTCGAAACGAAGGGTTCGAAATCGTATTAATGATATTCAGATAATTATCGTCAATAGGCAGTTACCATTTAAGGATAGGTGCGTGTAGGAGCGAGACATTTGTCATAATGGAGATGAACGGGAATGAACGAAGAAGCTAGACCAAAGCTAAATAATAGCCGTCACTTTCGTGCACCTAATGCGTAAGAATGATGGTCGTGGGGTGGGAAGGTTGGATAGGGTGGAGTGGGGACGGACTATGGCGAGGTGAGGCAAGGAGCGGGGATCGAAGCTCGAGAACTCTCTATCGTAATAAAAGACGGTTAAGAAAATGAGCGCAACGGCAAACCAATTTTAGTCCTATAGCTCTCAATGCTAACGCCAACCGGTCGTCCTCGCTAAAACTCGTCGCGGAGAATTAATGAGCCGCTTAATGTCGGAACTCCGTGTCCAAATAGAGATCGCTTATAATTGCACTATAATTACACACCAACGCGCGGCTCTTGACATTGGCTGATGCGACAGGAGCATGGCACGGCGAGGACTCGCGAGCTCGCGGATCTCCTTCGTGCGTTGCGGCCTCTTTCCCCCCTCCCCG